AAAAGTAAATAATTAATCCAATGATTAATGATAGAGGTTTTGTGAATTATACAGAAATCACAACAAAGAAGAATGACGTAAAGTCCTTGGTGAGTTAGTCACATGGTGAATGCTTGTGGCGAGTGATTCAGTGAACTTGATTTAATTTGACAGACCATGTGATCTGGTGACGTATTTTCGGTGACCCACTCTACTCAGAAGAGACATTTACAATCTATCATCACTGTCACTGTTTTTCTAAATGTGCTTACTTGTTAAACGTGGACTACCCTACCATCAGTGTGCATGAAAAACGAGAGAAAGGCGTTATTAGGAAGAAAATAAAAAACAAAAAACGATTCAGAGTTTTCAGTTGATTTTGTTTCCATCACAGTGCATCAGGGTGATATTAAACACAAGTGTTGCTGCAGGAGACGTGCAAGAAAAGTCCGGATGCCGTTCATCTGACCTGCGGGCCCTTCGAAGCCGGACGCAAAAGTTGCCGCGTGGAGAGGCGGGGTGGGGAGGGACCACGCCATGGTGGGCGGGGCCAAACCGCAGGAAACATGGGGTAAGATCTCATAGCATCACATTTTTATACTGACATTTGATTTCCTTCTGACCTCACACAGTGACGGAGTTTGGTGGAAATGATATCGCAGCTTTACGTATATATGTCTGTAGGGTAATGAATTTTATATGAACTGAAAAACGTCAATGACATTGTTGTTGGTAGCAAACTTAAACTGCTGACGTATGAGCAAAGGAAGAGATCAAAATCTCATTTCCCTCTTTGCTAGTTTGTAGACACATCAAAAATGGAATATAAGACATTACAAATTCTTAAGTTTGAATTGTCACATGAAGAAGCCGCTTAATTCTGTGGGCATTTTAAATGTGAAGTGACTTTTACACGATTTATATTCAGTGGAGTTTCCACTCTGTCCAGCACTGTGTGAGGTCTGGTGTTGAACAAGTCTCCATGCAGGTGGCTTGATTGGTGGGACAAAATCCCAGTCAGGACAGTGAAGCCAGTCACAAACTCAAAAATAGTCTTGCTCAGATTCAGGGTTTATTTATTGATCGAGTTGCTCCGACTCCAAGTAGAGATTTCTCACCTGCTAAATTTAACTACTCTTTTAATGTAATACATGAATTTTATATGCATCTAAATTTAAGTGGTGCCTGTGAAAATAGCAATTTTTAATTAAAAAAAAAACATTTCTGAAAAACAGTATCAGGTTTCTGTCTCCTTTTGTCACTGAAATTTAAAACTGTAGGTTTTTAAAATTAACTGCCAAAATCTTCAGCTTCATTGAATAGAAAAGGGCCTAGCTGGGCCTTCTGGATGCTTATCAGATAATTTACATTCATGTTTGCTACATTTACAGCTTGAATATTATAACCATCAAATTACTAAACATGTACATTTGTCTAGTGACAATATGAATAAAAAACACTTGTACTATGTGCTACTGAATTATCTTGAGTAGCCATTAAATAATTTTCTGAACTTTTACATGTTGATGTTTTTGAAGTTTGGTTCGGTGGACTGTTTTCAGTAAACTGTCATTTCACAGCGAAAGTTATTTGAAAAGTGAAACAATTTGGCAAAAAGCTAACAGCTGGTAACCTTGGTTTTGGTCAATTTTGAAATTTCAATAAACTCTTCCTGAAAATATTTCTGTCTGTCAAACACAACACTGGTAATGGATATTAACTGTACAAACTTATGCTGAGTTTGCTGCTGTTGTCTTAGTCGCCAACAATTATTAATGAAAGTTACAATGCAGCTACCAAATGTGACCTTTATGTTTGCTGATAGTGAGTAACCCTCTGTTTTCTTTGGATCAAAGATAGTTTGTTCCTCTGCTTTTTTCCCCCAGGTCTTCTACTTGTTTGGATATCATCCTGATTAGCTTAGCCGATTAGCTGATTGAAACCAGTGTTGTTTTGCATAGCAACATTGGCATTAGTAGGCTAAGAGAAAGGCTAAATAATGCTAATATGGCATTGCATTAACATTTATATAAACATTTCCATTTTGAGTTGTTTTAAATAACTAAACTTTGCTACTCCAGTGCTTGCTCAGCTAAATGTTAGCCTTTCATGACTCTTAAGGATTTATTTGATCTCCACTGAAACAACATTTCAGTGGAGATCACATTTGTTAATACATGCTGTAAATGAAGCAATTACTTCACAGGACATGGCTTCAAAATATTCCAAAAATACTTCGGTGGTGTTTGGAGCACATCTCGGTTATTAGCATCTTAGCGGTGAGCCACAGCTCTTCTGACAACCAGTCACAGATATTACAACAGTCTGGCTAGCTGATGTTGTTTGATCTGTCAGACCTTCTGTCAGTGACAGAAATTGTCATCCGCTGAACAAATGGTGCGTTCTCATTTATAATTGTGATATGCTAAATGTGACACAATAACTCAAAAAAAAAAAAAAAAGCCTGTTTGATCAAAAATCAAACAGCGTTATGAGAATATTTTGAGTTTGTCTGTGGCTTAGGTGATTAAATCCAATTGACAAATGCCTACAGGAACCACACACACTCAGGCTGTGTAAAGTTGGGACACACACACAAGTCACTCGTAGCTCAGGACTGTGGAGAGATGAGGAGCTCACACCAGGCCTCAAGATGGGATCAAAGAGAGCGGGAAACATGGGTGAGGAAACGTGTGGGTGGATGAGCTGGGTGAAGAGGAAACACGAGATGGCGACTCGGCCACTACATTGTGAACGTAGTGTTTCGGCACGAAGAGAAATCCCGGTGAAGAGTGTGGCGGGGTGTAAGAGGAGGGAAGAATCCCAACATGCTCTGGTGTCAAGTTGAAAACCTGGTGCTCAGAATGGAACTCAGCAGGGGCCCGGCTCTCTGGCCGGCGGTGCTGATTGGTGAAACAATGACCCATGCAAATCAACCAACACGGTGACGACAGACTATATTCAACGTGGAGCTTCTGCCTGGTTCTCTGAGATACAGACAACTGGACCGTGTCATTGCTCAAGATTTATATGTATGAAATCATTTTCGCAGAAAAGGTGGTTACCTTTATGCTTGGTTAAGCATACATTTAGAATGTCTTAGCTTTAGCTTGGGTTTTAGCTTAGATGTTGTAGCTTTATTGACTTCTGCCATCTGACATCAGAAAACCAGGCAGGAACATCCAACCAACCATGTGGTGATAAGTGCCACCCAAGTCCTTTACCTGATCTTCCAGGCGGCCCGGGAGGTCCTTGATTTCCTTTAGGGCCCTGGAATGGCAGTCCCGGAGGACCTGGAGGGCCACTGACACCTGGAGAACCTGGTGGACCTGGAAAGCCGGTGTCCCCTTTTGGGCCAGGAAATCCTGGGCCTCCAGTAGGACCAGGAAGGCCTGGGTTTCCTTTTTCACCTTCACAGGAAGTACCAGTGATTGTAGAGAACTGTGGCACAACATTTAAGGCTAAAATACAGTATGATGGGAAATAAGTTACCTGGCGACCCTGGAATCCCAGGAGGACCTGGAACACCAAAGCCAGGAATTCCTGGAGTAGACACAAACAATGAACTGAGCCAGGCAGAACATTTCCAAAAGATGTTCAGTGGGCATCCGGACCGTACGAACTGTCACCTACCTGGTTCTCCTTTGATACCGGCTGGTCCTGGGATCCCATCTCTTCCCGGCTGACCCTTCTCCCCGACCTGTCCTGGTGGTCCTGATCGACCAGACTCTCCTGGTCTACCTGGAGCTCCTGTGAGACCAGGGGCACCAGGCAGACCATCAAGACCCTTTGGACCGGGGAAACCAGGAGGACCTACCAAGAGACGACAAGTTAGTTTGTTCCACTACATTAGAGATTTACTGAGAGTACCAAAATAAAATTACTCACCTTGGAATCCTGCGAGGCCTACATCTCCTTTAACCCCCGGTAGCCCTGGTAAACCAGGAAGACCAGGTGTTCCCGGACCTCCTTTAGCTCCAGGACTTCCTGGGAATCCGGGCTGACCTGGATCTCCCTTTTGAGAGAATTGACTAGATCTGTCATCCCTGAACATGTCGTGAAACAAGGACTGAAAACACTTCTTTCTGTCACCTTTTGTCCCTGTGGTCCAGGTGGTCCAACACCACCAGAACCTGGGTCACCTTTTGGTCCTTGGAGACCAGGTATTCCTGGCTGACCTGGGGATCCTGGCCTACCTTGAAAACCTGGTGAGCCTTTTGACCCCATAGGTCCTGTTGAGTCATAGAGAAAAGATTAACATCGACATCGGTGAGTCAAATGTTCAAGTGCAGAAAACTTTTTATACTAAATTGCTATGACTTAGTTTTATTCTTAACATAAAACTACAAAGTTTTAATATAGTCAGTGTGTCAAAAATGTTGTCATTAAATGGCATCAACAGTGTTTTTGAAAGTCATGGTGAAAAGACAGTTCACACAGACAGAGAACGCAAACTTATTGCGCAGAAATGCAAAAGAAAAAATCCTCCATGTTCCTTAGTGGCCTCCATACTCATTAAATACTGACAGTGTGAAATATGTATTATATTGAAACAGTTTCAGAACCATGCAAAACTGGGTCCTTTTTCAACATATCCTAATACAAAAATGTATAAATGAAAAGGGGTGTATGTCTTTTTCGTATTAATATCGATGTGTTTAACACCAATTTAAAAATATACAGACGGTACTAGCAAAGGTAGGCAAACATCTGACAATTAACAGCTCACCCACCTGGAATTCCCATATCGCCCATTCCGCCTTTTGGACCTGGAGATCCAGGACCACCAGGACTCCCTGGGATACCAGGTTCTCCCTTTAGCCCTGCACAAAATAAAGTCATTAACTTTCAGCCAAAACCCATTCCATCCATTCATGACATAACCCCTTACCTGGCGGACCAGGAATGCCAGGGCGTCCATCTTGTCCAGGCAATCCAGGGTCACCAGGGAGACCTGCAATGCCTTTGGGTCCGGGAAAGCCTGGTGATCCTAAACACAAGGGGAATTTCTTATTAATGTATCTTTATGCTGAGAGTTACTGGAAATTTAGAGATAGCACCATAACTGAGGTGATGTTTGAATGTTTTCTATTGTACCTGGAGTTCCAGGATCTCCTTTAGCTCCTCTTATATCTACTGGCCCAATGGGTCCTGGGAGTCCCGGGGAACCTGAGTCTCCCTTTTCTCCTTTAGAACCAGGTCCACCTGGGATGCCGTTACTGCCTGGAAATCCTGGTTCACCTGTGGCACAGAAACATAGGAACCTAGAGATTGTGTGCTTCAAAGTACTTTGACCTTTACTTATTTATTAATAAATGTTTTAAATCTTAAACTGGGACTGGTGAAATGTAGTTTGGACTTATTAAAATACTTAAAATATCCCTTTAATTTAAAAGCTGATGGGAAACTCAAAAGCAGATAGTAACTTTGGTGGCCAACAAGCTAGTTTGTTTAAACTCAAAGATGGCTTGTGTGTAAATACCTTTAAGACCAGGTGCACCAGGTCCTCCCGGAGTGCCAGGTCCTCCAGATGGTCCTGGAGGTCCCATTGGACCCATGTCACCTTTTGGACCTGCAGCGCCCAAAGAGAGAGCAGATGACGTATGTAAGGAGAAATCATAAACTGAAAAGTCTATGATGTTAATAAAACTAGCAGCTTAGCTACCCATTCAGCGATTAAAATGCTAGATAGATTTTTGCGTCAATGCATTTAATGAACAGGAGAAAAAAAATTATTCAGCATTTGACCAACTGATTAGATCAAAAGATCAACAGATATTTGGAAAGGTCAACTAAGTGATGCCTCACAACATGCTATATACCAGACAGTAAAGAATACTCTGCCTTTATTCAAGGGTACAGATAACATTATTTTACCTGGAAATCCAGGTGCGCCGTCCCTTCCAGGTCCTCCAGGGGGTCCTGGGATTCCTATTGGTCCAGGGGGGCCAGGAAAACCAGGATTCCCTCTGTCACCTGGTAACCCTGGGATGTCTAAGCCTGGTGGACCTGGGTCTCCTTTCTCTCCATTTGCTCCTGGGTATCCTGTAAGGATGATCGTTTAAATCAGCATAGAGACACGTGAACCTCCTCCACCTCTGATTTGAATTGAAGCCAAGTCTTTTTAGCAATTCTTTCCTTGAGAAACCATTTTTAGCCTTGAGATACTGAAGTAAAACCACGGAGAAGGCAGTAAGGTTATTTATTTCGTAAATATTGCAAATGTCACATTTTTCGAAGCCCTATTCATGATCCAAATAACCTACTGAGGTGTATGGAGCTAAATTGGGGCCATAAAGTTTGGTCAAATGGGAAAAAAAAATTAAACTGAAAAAAGAAAAAGTTCAAAACTACTTTTCAGATTCAAGGGTTTTGTTTTCAGTTTTAGATTTTTTGTTTTAGTTTCAAGGCTTTGGTATGTGTATTTTCAGTTTAATTATTTTTCTTTTTAGTTTAAATTTAGTTTCTGTTTCAAACTTTTCGGGAATGAATATTTGTTTTTACAACTCCAAACTTTTTTCAAATTCAAAATAATCTTTCAGTTTCAAATCTCTTTTTTTTAAGTTTCAATTTTTTTTTCTTTTGAACAAACTTTATGGTCTGTAGAGATGATATGCTGTGTGTCGAAGTTTAGTAAGTGAATCCTAAAGAAAAGTTCAACCTTGTATGAATTACTTCACGAAATTATTAAACATTCCCAGGATCCCTGGCAGGATCAGTCACCGCAAAGAGGCTGATTTTCCCTCATTATGAGCCAGACAAACATAAATTAAAGGAAAGGAAAGATGCAAGAGTCTGTTTGAAACCGTCAATGAAGAAAATATGTCACATTTCAAATTTCATTAGAATTTTAAAAAGACTTAAATAAGCAACGCTTAACCAGGTTGGGTCACAAGTAAAGCCTGGTGGCCCGCCAGGCTTATGATACACTTGAGGTAACCCTGTGTATTATATTAGCCTGTGAGTACAATTTTGACAATTTGTGGATTACAGAAAATCCATTTTAAAAACATACTTGTGCACCAAATTTTTGTCATTAATATGTATTGAAATTGTATTTTGTATATTATCACCTTCCTAAAATTTTGGCCTTAGTCGTTTTTTTTGCAAAAAGTGAGATACCTTTTGGCAAAAAAGGACATAGGTCATTATTTTAGGAAGGTGACGACATAATCAATCAACACCAAAAAGAATTAACAGTCAACTGTTCAAATATGACAATATGACATTCATGCCAGTGAAGAATGTATATAAACTAAAGTTCAGGTCTAAACTGCTAACAAAAACTGTATTAGCATGGATTGTCTGGCAGCAACTGCATATTGAAAGCAATTAACGCTTAAGAACTTCCTTTTTACTGTTAAAGTTGGCTGTACATTGAAAAAGGAGAGAGACAAAAGGTCGTGCTGGTGCAAAAGCAGGTACTCTGACACGCTCTGGTGTTAGTTCTTGCTTGGTGTGCTCTTGCGGAAATCGCAGTATGTGACGTTAAGAGTGGTCGGGCATGAAAAGCGCATCTCTGTGATATGGCGTTGTGCCAACTGCATTCGCATGAGACTGTTTGGATTAGAAACAGGAAGAGAGATGACGCTCATGAAAGTTTCTTCAACATTTGGTGGAACAAAAATGTGGTAAAATGAGGTACAACGTAAAGACACTGAGACATTTTCCCAGACAAAGACAAAAGTCCCACAAAATTGTAGAGCAGCCATTTACAGACGTGGCATCTAACTCTCTACATAATAACATGCTCTGATCACCAACACATAGAGAGTAGCTACTTGTGCTTGTAAATCAACCCAACAAACCCAAGCTACAGTGTTTTGTAAGGTGCTCATGTGGAAACTGTTGACTTCATTAAAGTCAACAAATCCAACCACCAAACATTGGCTTCAAAAGAGTCAGTCATGCTAACAAATAAAGCTAACGAGTATTTAATCTCATAAAACACTCAGAAATGTTATACACAATTGAAAAATAACATTTTGTTCCAAGGCCTTTGACAGTAAGAAATCAACCTCAACCCAATCTTTTGTGACGTACCTATTGGTCCCATTGGCCCGGGGGGTCCAGGAGGGCCCGGAGGACCCTGTGCACCACTTGTTGAGCTTCCAGGGGGCCCACGAGGTCCAGGTTGGCCTGGTGAGCCGGGCTCCCCTAAACAAGGACAAATAAAGGGGGTAGCTGTCAGAAAAAGCTGTCGTAATTTTTAACAATCGTCTTAAGTTGCTGTATTGACAATAAAACAGACAAACTAATGTATTCATACAATATTAATACCTTTAAGTCCTGGTCCGCCATCAAACCCAGGTCGCCCTGGTCCACCTGGGTTGCCGGGGAAACCAGGATCTCCCTTTTGTCCAGGGAATCCTTTAGCTCCTGCTATTCCAGGTGGACCTGGAGGACCAGGAAGTCCAAAGCCTGCCTCACCCTTTTGGATGCACAGACAGGGAACAAATAAATGGTTAATTTCACTCAGTCAGGAGGGGAAGATATTAGATGTTCAGCAGACAGATTTATCCAAGACAGGAAAAATAATACTGGCCAAAATTAAAGATAATTTCAGTGCCTGTCAATCATTTGAGAAATAATTAGCCTACCTTTGGTCCAGGAAACCCTGGTGGCCCGGGGAATCCATCTACTCCCGGTCTCCCTACTTTTCCAGGTGTTCCCGGCTGGCCCGGAATACCTGGGAATCCTAGCGAACAGAGGTGAAAATTGATAACATCGGTAACTAGGAACCAAAAGCAGATGTAAAGATTCACATGAGCACTTTTATGAGGCAAAAGTAGGATGGGTACATATCCATTTACCCTTAACTCCTGCAGGACCTGGAAGGCCGACGCCCGGTTGTCCCGGTTCACCCTTTGGTCCAGGAAAACCTGGTGAACCAGGCTGTCCATCCGCACCTCGCGGACCTGATGAGAAGTAGCATTCTGTGCGTTATTGCTGTTGTTATGGTGAAGGTAAAGGCTTTACTTCACAGGTGAGGCATGCTACCTGGCGGACCGGGTGACCCTGGGTTGCCATCTATTCCTTTGGGTCCTGGTTGACCCTTCTCTGTGACCGTCGGACCTGGTTCACCTTTTACACCTACAAATTGAGGTAAACATTGATTTCCTAGAACATTTTCCTGATCTTAACAGCACAGCTGTTTGAACAGCCAATAAAAGATAATCCAATGCAGGGGCAGCTATATTTTTTAGAAGGGGTGTTCAGTGATGTACTTAGTTAAAAAAATTTAAGTAAAACCAGTTCATATGAGAATCAATATATTTGCTTCTTGCCTGGATTTCCGGAAGTGCCAGGTGCTCCTGAGTTGCCTTGAGCACCTTTCTCCCCTGGTGGACCCGGGACTCCATAGCCAGGGCCGCCTGGTGGACCTCTGTCTCCTGGGATGCCGGGCGGACCTGTGTCACCAGGGGGACCTCGTTCTCCTTTTAAGAGCAGAGACCCCTGCAGACCACAGGTACAAACATTTATGAAATGTCCGATGGAGGGTTGGATTTATGTAAAGGCAGCACAACATCCTGGAAAGTCACGCACAGGAGCTCCCTTGGGGCCAGGAGGCCCAGGTGCTCCGTCACGACCGGGTCGACCATCCAGGCCAGGCAGACCGGGTGGTCCAGGGAAACCACTGTCACCCTTCTCTCCTTTCACACCACCACCTCCGAAGGTATCTCCTGGCTCTCCTTTCTCTCCGGGGAAACCTGGAGCACCTACAGGACCAGGAACACCCTACAAAGGAAACAAAACTTCAAGGGATGGAGGGACGACAATGACATGTAATAGGAGGCAAAATAGGCAAGAGACTGACTCTTAAATTTGGGGAAAAAACAACAACAAAAAAACAACAACAACAAAAAATCCCTCACAGTTGTTTAGATTCAGTCTTGCTCAGATTTTAATGATCTTTTTTAAAATCAGTTTTAAACTTCTAATCATTCGACATTTCCAGATGCAGAAGCTCAAAACTCTTTTGCTCTTGCTTTCACCGTTGACTGCAAATTTTCAACAGCAACAATAATTACTGTAAGCAATAAAAATGAGCAAATGTTCTCTTAATGTTTGTCTGTAATGTGGTATAAAGGCTTTAAAAAAGTATTCCTCACAAATCTCCATTGAAATAAAGTTAGCAAATAGAGGTTTTATTTAACAGGGGACAAAAACTATCCAAACCATTGTGGTTGTACCAATTGCCCCAAACCTAAAAAAGGTTCTGCCACCCTTGAAAGCAACTACTGCCCTTCACTTCGACTGTGAATGAATTTTAGCTCAGTCTCCTATGCAGAAGTGCTGTCCTTCACCCACATTGGAGGACTCTGAGTAAGTACGACTGGCCTGTTTAAGTTTTCGTCACAGCATCTCAATCAGATACTTTGAGTCCTTCATTGGTAAACTTGTCTGCCACTTGCCACGTCTTTGTTCTGCTGCATGTCGAAAAGATGGATGGACGTTGTCCTTGAAGATTTTGTGGTAAAGAGCAGAATTAAAGGTTTCATAAATTCCAACAAGTCAACCAGGTTCCCGAGGAAATGAAGTTGCTCCTTGGTATCACAATACGACCACCATGTTTGAGATGTAACAGCGTATTGCCGTCTTCCAAAGAGCTCCACTTTTGTTCCAGTTTCTCCAAAGTTCCTGAGAATCATGCAGAAATGTATCTGCGAACATGAGGCAGGCCTTTGTGTCCTTTTGATCAGCAGTGGGGTTTTGACTTTGAAACTCTGCCATGGAAGCCGTTTTTTGCCCAGGTTCTGACTTATTGTTGAATTGTTAGCAGTGACAATCAGGAGGCCCAATAAGATGTTGCTCTTGGTCCTTTTGCAGCCACCTGAATGAATCAATGATATGCTCTTGAAGTAATTTTTCGCAGACTGGACATTCCTAGCAAAGTTCACCACTGTTCCATGTTTTCTCCACTAGTAGATATTTGCTCTCCCTGTGGTTTGATTGCACCCCAAACTTTTGATAGATGACTTAAGTTAATTTATTTATATTCTGTTCTTGAATAGGCTTGACTCAGACATGGTGGGTTTGTTTTTGAGCTTTTAGCATGCTTCATGAGGTCAAATATGTTCTATTTAACCCTTCAGTGGTTTTAAGAGGCAAGGTAATTTGGACAACATGAGCTTTTTATCTTTTGTCTGGTGGGGTCGCACTGGCCTTGTGTGTGGTTTCACAACTTTTTTTTTTTTGTGTGTGTGTGTGTGTGTGTGTAGTTTCAGGAACTGATGGGTTAATATTTCACCCTCCTGTCTTCATGCTGTCCAACCGTGACATCTGCCGCATTTCTCCTGAGTGTCGAGCTATGACCGTGGGAGGGTTTATAGTGATTTCTTGATCCTCCTAGTTTGGCAGTAATCTTTTGTTTTGTTGTTGTGTACATGAGGTTGGTTTGGATAGTTTTTTCCCTTAACCCTTTGACACATAAACCAAAAGTATAAAAGTCATGCTTGTCAAAAACTACTCACAGGGGGTCCACTAAGGCCTGTTATTCCTTGAAAACCTGGTTCTCCCTTTACACCTGGCGGGCCAGGAGGGCCTGATAAAAATTAGAAAAATAAATGGAAGCACAATAGATTTAAAAACACTTTATGCTTTAATGTCTGGTTCAGAGTATGCAACAAACAGTGCAACTAACTATGGCTTAGCTTTTCACTACAGCTAACTAGCCATAATCGTCATATTTCCTTCTGCACACAGCTCACACACCAGCAAACGTCTTTTGATGTGACAATAATCACATTTTTACTTTTTTAAGATGCCACGAATTGGCATAATTCATTGACTTTTGCTTCTTTCCTTCATGATTAATCAAACGTCTGCTCCAAATGCTTACTTGCAGCTAGTTATGTAGCAAAGTAAGTAAGCAAAATATAATGCCCAAAATATGTTTTAGCAGAGCAGATCTGAACATTTTAAGTAACCAAATCGGCGGTAGTGACACACGAGGATGTCATAGATAAACAAGTAAATGAAAAATAAGATCCACAGACGTTACCTGCGAAGCCTGGCGGACCTGGAGGCCCTGGGGGCCCCGGTATAAGATTGCCTCCGTCAATGCAGTTCACACAGGTTTCTCCCTTCTGACCTGAAACATCGTGATCGTCGTCAGTGTTTTCTGTGCACAGCTGTACATTTCTTATGAACCACACGTAAATTGTCTAACCCTTTTTCATTACACATTTGATTTTACTTTGGTCATTTTTATAATTTATTTCAAACGGTCATTAGATTTTTATTTTTTTTACTTTGGTGGGGTATTTTTACAGTCATGAAAAAATCTGAATACCTTCATGTTTTGAATCCTTTAATATGGATTCTTAATAGAAAGCTAATATGCAAAATCAACTTTTTTTAGCTTTAAGTCATGATCTCATCAGAAACATACCTGTAGTGTTGCATTGATTCTTTCAGGCATGTTTGAGAAATCCTTGAATCTCACATGGCAACCACTGAGCTGTGCAAAATGCTTGCTCATGCAATGCACAGCCTATTTATGCAAAACGCCTTCTTGGAGCTTCAGTCCCTAGTTGAGCTCCCGCCCCACAAAGTACTCCTTTCCTGCACCTCCCCAAACTGCTCCCACAGACTAGTGGCAGCAGCAATTAGCAAACACCTGCTGACCTTATTCTACAAACTACCTCTCAGTCCAACGTTCCTGAGAATAGTTGTAAACGGCATCAAAGAGAAGCACTGTTGCTGAAAGGGGAGAGTTGGAAATGGTAGGAACTTCTTAAAGAGACAGAGTCCAATTTCAGCTATGTTGCAATGTGAATTTTTTTTAAGTTGCTGTTTATCTATCTATCTATCTATATATATATATATATATATATATATATATATATATATATATATATATATATATATATACACAGCCTTTTTAAAACAACTGAAGGTAGCAACGTTACTTGATGTATTATAAAAATGGCAAGAAGATACACAACACTCTTTAATATCTATTGTTAAAATACTGATAAATTCAAGTAGTATTAATAAATTGTAAAAAAAAAAAGAGAGAAGGAAATTAAAGAGGTTGATTATAAATCAGCCATTTCACTGACTGATAAAAAAAGCCTACAAGTGGATGACATTTAAAACATCTGCCAATATGTCCACATCTGGCCGTCTAACCATGTTTATCTTGAAAGCAGACTGCAAGACGCTAAAAGAAGTCTCCAAAAGAGGCTAAAGTTGTTTCAGTGTAAGGGGGCAAGAATAGCTTTTTTGTGTAGGGTGCCCTAATGTTTTGCGATATTAGGAAACAGATTTCTGTTTCGTAAAACTGAGCCAAGTTTATTAACCCTTAAATAATTCATCTTCTGTCCTTGACATAGATTGAGAAAGTTCAGATATAGAGTATTTAAATTAACTGGGTGTACTTATGTACTATATATGTCACATATAACTTAGGTCAGATATATATTACTGAGCAGCTTCCTTTTATTTTCTTACCTTTCTGGCCTTGCTCTCCAGGGAAACCTTTTTGACCCTGGATTCCAGGAAGCCCAGGATCTCCAGGAAGGCAGTTATCGATCGGTGATGAATAGCCGGGAGGTCCACGCGCCCCTTGTGGACCAGGATTCCCGGGATTTCCCGGACGTCCTGGGGGACCGGGCAAGGCATTCGAAGGAGTGCCTGGGTCTCCTTTCTGACCTTTGTCTCCAGGGAAACCTGGAGGACCCGGAGGACCGCTGCCACCTATTCCAGGAATTCCTGGTGCTCCCTGAGGCCCTGGGAAACCTGCAGAAGACGGATCAACATAATCATTAAAAATGAGGAAAGTACCTTAATTTGGCTGATTTTTATTGTTTTTATTTTATTTTTGCTTTCGTGTTTTGATTATTTTCCGAAAAGAACATTGCCTGAATTTTAGTGATAATGTCCAAAATTTGTTGAAATAACTTTTTCAGTCTGCTCACTGACTTCCATGAGATGCTCCATTTATATTTTGAAGCATTCTTGTGTAAACTACTTAGAATCATCACAATCACAACGAAAATTATGACAATCCAACATCATCTTCTGACCAAATTGCTTTATTACCAGTGTTAAAATCTTAGCGAGCTAGGTTAATGTGGTTGGCAAAACTGCTAACTGTTCAACAACAAGCAAAAATATTTACCGAGTCGGTTTTGTGCCTGCATCTACGTTTTTTTTTTATAGATTACCTGACGGTCCTCTTTCTCCTTTGGCTCCAGGATTTCCAGGAAAACCGGGTTCACCTTTTTGACCAACAACAGCTCCATTCGTAGGCCGAATTACCTGGTGGAAAAAAAGAGGAAGAGAAAAGTTTATACTTGACAAGTGCCGTAACTCAGAAACGTATCTCAGTTCAGTCCTTAAGGTTGGGAGTTTTTGGACTTGTATTCTACCTTGTCTCCTTTGGGACCTTAGTGATCCCCAACTTATCGGACCTCAAATATTGTTGAAAAAACTCATCATTCCGAGTTTATTAAAAGCTAGATCTATCCCAAGAAACCAACCAGCTTAAACTTTTCCAGTCTTAGCTAAGAGTGATCAAATATCCCGCCAGAAATATGCTAGAAGCTAGCTAATATATAACAAGACAACTTGGGAAAAGAACAGTTCAAAAAAATCAATGAAAGGCCAAAATTAATGGAACATGAATAAGACGCCCATGATGAGAAGATGTAAACGTATCATGTAGCAGTGATGCTAAATAGTTCTCTTGTTTACCCCTTTTTTACCCTATACACCCAAAGTTCAGACATTCAGGGACTGATTTTCTGGATCTACTCTAAAAATACAATAACCACAAAAAAAAGAGAAAAAAAAAATTAAACACGAAAAAATTCATATACGGGAAACAAAACGATTCTGCACTCAGCAAATGATTTTGGTGTCAAATGAATGTCAGATACGTACCGGTCCTGGAGGTCCCGGAAATCCTCGGTCGCCTTTTTGCCCCTGTTAACAGGAGGGAGAGTGATTTAAGTCGTTTTAAACATTACCTGTTGAGCTGTTGATAATATGGGAAGACGGACAATGAACAATATTTTCGGAAGAAACCCACTCTCTCTCCATCTCGGCCTGGGAGACCTGGACTTCCAGGCTCTCCTTTAAGTCCCTGATGGTAATGGAAAGTCACAGATGTAACTGGCACGGTTTTAAAAGAGATGCAAATCGTACATTTTGCTGGTATGCAGGTTGTAACTCACTGGGTATCCTGGAGCTCCTGGGTCTCCGTCTTTGCCTTGTTTTCCCTGTGAAAATGGAAAAATGACTATAGATTTGCTTGGTAAAAAACAGAGGAGAAAACTCTAGTGGCCTCCACGGTCACCGGATCTCAGTCCAATTGATTTGGGATATTGTGATATGGGAGATTCACATTGTACATAAACTAACATGCTAACATGTCAACTTGGATGGAAATCTCTGAAGAATGCTTCTGGGATCTCATTGAGTCTAAGTCATGAAGACTGAAAGCAGTTCTAAAGGAAAAAGAGGGTCCAACACCAGAACTACGAAGGTGTAGCTAACACCATCACCAGTGAGCATCTCGTGGTCAAAGGGAGACGTCTAACAGTGGTGGTTACAATCTGTTTGATGAGCTCTTGACTAATGATACTCACTCGTTTTCCTGCTTCTCCTGGTTCTCCTTTCTCTCCCTTCTGGCCACCAGAGGGACCCTATCGGATCACAGCGACAGGCATATAAAATTAGTTTTTCTTGCCTGGTCTTTACAGGGTTTCTTCATATGAATGAACCTCGTGGTGAGATGGTAACTGATACCTACAGGTGGACCTGGGTTGCCTGGGTCACCTGGTAGACCTGGAGGGCCAGGGTCACCCTTTAGAGATTATAATGCAGAAGAAGAAAAAAACACAACTTTAATGAAAACGTTTAACAGTTAGTTTAACTTCAATGGAACTAACAAGAACATTTAATGTTTTTATTAACATTTTATTTTTTACAGTACTCTGGTTGAATCAGCATTTTAGTAAGCAATCATGTTACTTCATCAATAAATGTCTTATGTACTCTCTACTGCCACCATGTGGTGAAAGTTAAAATTGAAGTCTGTAGCAGGGTAAGGAGCTTGATATTAAGTATGATGGTCTACAATTGGTCAACCTTGATGGTAATGCACAAATATAATTATTATAACCAGTCTTTTTTTAAATTCTGTCATATGACTTCATTTATTTAGAAAAGAAAATCCAGAAAATTCTTAAAAGTAAAGACAATTAATTATTAGTTTATGTCATTTCTGCCTCTTCTATTAACATTTAGAATTATTATTTTGGTTTGGGTGTGCAGTCAAACAAAGTAGGAGAAAAGTTAAAAAGAACCACCTGCATATGCAAATATTGGCTCAGTTTCTGGTTCGGTTGCTCTGAAATTTTACCAAATATTTAGTCCAACATGCTAAAAAAAAATCACTACTTACTTCCAATGTAATCTGATTGTATCTGTAGGAATGGAAGAAGTGTAACAACATATTTAGGAGAATGAAGGTACCTTGTCTCCTCTCTGGATCTCTGTTGGTGGTGGTCTGACCTGTTCCCCCTGACCTGGTCCTGGAGGACCGGGAGGTCCCGGCAACCCTTGATCACCCTGTGTAGAAAAAAAAAAAAACTTTATTAGTAACTGTGATCAAAGTAAAATTAATCAAAAAGTGTTTTTGGACTTGTATTCTACCTTGTCTCCTTTGGGACCTTCAAAGTTCAAACCCATGTTTCCCTGTTCAGGAAATTTGAAGAGAGTTGATCAAGATTCAGCACGTTACGGTACAGCATAAAATTTTATTTTTGATTGTCTTTTGCTTATTTACTCGTATCATTTAAAAAAATTAGGCAAAAAAAGTGACTGATTTTACCTTAGGTCCAGGTGGACCTGGAGGACCTGGAACACCCTGGAAGACCACAGGAAAAATGTTAAAGTTTTAATAGTGATTTGTGTGTGTGTGTGTGTGTGTGTGTGTGTGTGTGTGTGTGTGTGTGCGTGCATGCGTGTTTGTTTGTTTGTTTGTGATACCTTGTGGGGACCATTTTCCTGACATATACTACGTTGTGGGAGCCTGCTCCTTGTGGGGACCGAAACCTGGTCCCCACAAGGAGAAACGCTGTTTTTGGGTCAAGGGTCAGATTTAGGACTAAGGTGTGAATTGAGTTTTGGTTAGGGTTAGGACAAGGGTAAGGTTTAGGCTTATATTTGTGGGGAAAGAAATGTGTGTGTGTGTGGTGGTGTGTGTTTCAGAAGCCCTCCTTTACCTCGTAGCCTGGAAGTCCTGGAGGGCCAGTAGGGCCTGGTAAACCTATGGGTCCAGGACTGCCCTGTGAAAATATAGACACAAAACATAAAATCTAAATTATTTATAAAAGACTCACTGACTCTATCACTGGATTCTCCTTTCATGTGAGAAATCTTGCAAAAAAAAAAAAAAATTGCTCTGCAAATATTTGTCTAACATTTTGATGAATATAAATCATAATGAAATGAGTGAGAAGGATCTGAACTTCTACATAAAGGTTAGGTAAAGGTAAATCTTTTTTTTTTTTTTTTTTACATTTTAAATAAGTTGTTTTGAAATCAGCGGTTTCTTAAATTGTTGGTAAAACACAACATGGGAGTGAAGAGTGGTTTCCTCACCGGAGATCCTGGCAATCCGGGCAAACCGACTGATCCTTTTTGTCCATAATTGTTGTTGTAAAACACATCTCCACGGTCTCCCTGGGGAAAAGGAAGAAAAATCAATCATCATCAGCCATACGCCATAAAAACCAGTCATTTCTAGAAGAAGTGCTGAATGTACATCATATTTTCAAGACCATTGGGTCTCTTGCCTTGAAAAACACATGAATTTGAGTGGTGTGAAATGATGCCAGGTCACCTTTTTGTAGCAATCTACAGCTTCATCTTTTCTAGAAACTTTAAATGTGTGTTTAGATGAAGTTTTGCTCTTTTTCTTATTTGTGAGGTCAGATGGTGATGTTGGACGAGATGGCCTGGCTCACAGTTTCCTCTCCGTCGGTCAGGTAAGTTATTTTATACCAAACCAGATCATACATGTCTTTATGAGCCTTGCTTTGTGTGGTGGTGTGCATGTCATGTTGAAACATTAAGAGACAAAGGCCCAGTTTCAAGATGTTAAATTATCAAGAAAAATGTTTTTAAAAGTCATATTTGACATACGTAGCATTTTTATAATGGCTGGCATTAATAGTTACTTGATATAAAAATGGCATTATGTGTCTGGCAAAAAACATAATGCTACCTTTTAAAAGACAACTAATCTTCTGGATGCATTCAGGTGAATGCTAGCGGCTAAGCATTAGCTACTAATCTTATACACCAACGGGATACTGCTTTGGGGTTTTTTTCCCCCGTAAACCTCGACATTTAACTTCTTAAAAACCAACTGTATCTTCATTATGTTAGCAATTTGGGAAATTATGATTTTATTAGATTGCTGCATACTACCAAAACGGTATTATTGAAAGAGGAAGGTCTCAATAAAATCTGCAAAAAGAGCTTGAAAGGTCCAATTGACTTAGCAATTGAGGATCCAGGCCTTAGAAAGACTGAGACAAGATTTTGCGCTTTTCAAACAATACATCATATAATAGAGAAATTTTCATTTTAATTGGATCTGAAAGTAGCATAATGTCAGGGATCAATTAAACACTGGGGTGGTCTTACACCTACCTTTTCTCCTGGGAGACCAGGTGGACCCTATGAAGGAGGAGACAGATGGGAGACAGGTGAGATTCTGATTGAAAATCAATGCTTTGCGTTTGAAGAATTTTGAGCGATAAAAACCTTTGTGATAAAAACTACTCTGAACTAGTTTTGCTTGGATTTGCTTCAAAAGAGCGATGAATGTTAGCTCCGTTCAGGAACACATCCCACTTATTACACTCTTAAGCAAAACTAAAATATATCCAAACTGTAGAAACTGTCATATTTTTTAATAAAAAAAAAAAATAACAGAAAAATAATTGCATTTATTTTTCTTTCAACTTTCCCATGTTAAACATGTTTCAAATGAGTTGTTTTGATTTGAGGTTTTGAACAGAAAAACCGTAAAATATTCTAACATTAATTTAACTTTTCTACCCCCTATCTTCTAGGAAGGTTAAATGAATAAGTATCCACTTAAAAGTCTATCATATTTAAGGGAAACAGATAAAATACACTGAAAACTTTAAATTCAGAAAAGTGAAACGCATTACTCATAATATTGAATCATTTCAAAAGGCTCCAGGTCAGAAAAACTACACAGGGTTCTTCAAAAAGGTTCCTAAAGTGGAAAAATCCTTTGAGTTTTTAATAAAAGGTGAATATTCTTAATACTAAAGAAGGTACTTAAATTTCCCTTCCATGGGTAGTATGGGATACACCTGAACCTCTGTAATTTCTTTTATTAGTCACTTACTGGAAGTCCTTGTCGTCCAGGTATTCCTGAACTTCCTGGAAAACCAGGTTCACCCTTAAGACGAAGAAGAAAGAAATCAAGGATTCTTCTCAGGACAAAGAAGGTACTATACAACACAATAAATAAACCAGCTAATTTTTAATTTGGTTCTGTTACCTTTGTCCCGTTACAACCCGGCACTCCCCTTGGGCCCGGGGGTCCATCCTGTCCTGGCAGACCCTGTCAGGAAATACATAGTTGAGTTACATGCGAGGGTTACGTTTGGCCAAAAGAGTGGTTCTGGATTACTTTGGACTTACTGGAAGTCCTGGCGTTCCTGGAAATCCAGGCAATCCAGATGGTCCCTGTTGGGAAACGAAAAGAAAAAAAACATTTTAGAAATTGTGTAAAGAGAAAAAGAAAATCTCTCTTTATCCAACAATGTTTGAAATATTGTGAAGTGGGGACATCTGGTGTCCATAATGGGGTATTACAACTGAGGATGAATGGCTAATACAGTTAAGAAATGCCTCCAAAAGAATCAATAAAAGCACAAAAAATAACAATAAAAAGGAATTATTTTTTGAAACTCTTCTCATGTATTTAGGTTAAACCAAAAACAAATCAATAAAATAACATTAAACTTGATTCTTCCTTTTGCATGATAGAAGTTACAGACAAAACATTTACAGTTTAAAGTGAAAGTCTGTTTTAAATAAACTTGATATACGTACTCTTATTCCTTTTGGACCAGATGGTCCCGAAGGTCCATCACTTCCCTAAACACAAAACAAAAGAATATTATTAACAAAACATTTGTGTGGTTAAGAACTGGGAGATATTCAGATTAGCACTTTATGATTCAAGGTGACTAAGGGTAATGTAGTGAAACAAGATAAAAAATTCTGATTTATAAATAGGCCTGTCATGAACAAATTTTGCTGATCGATTAATTGTCTAAAAAATTATTGCGATAAACGATAATATTGTTTCAAGACCTTTTGACACCGATTTAATGGAAATGACTAATAATGCATGTGATTTCCTGCCATAGATAGATGCACTTTATTTTCAAAAGAACACATAACACTGGAACTGATAAACTAAATTAAACAAAACAGCCAAAGACAAAAATAAAATGGATTCTCAGTCTCCATTAACAAAAAATGTACTTGAATAAAAAATAAACAACATAAAGCCAAAGTTGAAATAAATACTGCATTAAACCAAAAGAGTGCAGATATGAAGTCTGTATGTGCCCTTCAGTAATCACTACATTTAAATAGAGAAGATGAGCACATCCGACTACCTAATGCAATAGTTCATACTACACGATTTTCTGCCGCTATTTTCTCCTTATCACAATCTTAGATCGTTGGCTGATCTAAGATTCTCGCTGGTGATTTCGTAACCGATCATCCTGCAGTGTGGTGGGTTAGGTAGATCGTCGTGGCCCCTCCGATCTGAATCAGGGGTTTTCCCCGACTGGGAGCTTAATGCTGAATGTGACAGGTAGCCAATTAGAAAACGTGGATTCTCCTCTGCGCTTTCTGAGGGGAAATTACGAGGGGAATCCCAAACAGCTGACACAGCGCAACCCAAAGTCCAGCAGATGTTGGAGATGATATGTGGAAACAACATTAATATTTATTCAACATTTCGTGCAAAGAATATAGAAATGACCAGGAGAGGTTTTAATAATTATTCTGTTTACAGAGTTAATTAAATTATTGTTGTTTTTTTTTATTTTTTATTTTTTTTTGACAAAATTGTTAAACTTCCATATACAAGTCTACACACAAAAAAAATAACACAATCACAGTTTTTGAAAGAGGTGAGCCTTTTCCCATTTGGACTCCTTCACTTTGACTACATTTCTGTCAGTTAAGATAATTTATCCTGTTTTGCTAAAGCTAAAGGCTCACCGTGATGATCAACACTCTTGATTCTTATGGATCATCCAAATCCTTTAGTTTAGTCCATTGTTAAATCTTCTTGACAAACTGTTTTAAGTTCTGTGTTTGTGATCTGGAATGTTTGAGCGTTAAGCCAAACTCACCTTCTCTCCTCTAGTTCCGATTGGTCCCTCAGGTCCGGGGAACCCTGGGACCCCTGGCTGTCCGGTAAGACCTGGGAAACCCCTTTCCCCCTGCAAGCCACCACACACACACACACACACACACGCACACACGCACACACACACACGCACACACATAGTCAGTTGATTCCATTTGTGTGATTTACATGTTGTTAATAGTTTTGACGTCCAGCTACTGTCACCATGAAACATCAAAATGTAGATGTAGAATAAATCGAGTTGCAGTTTTTGTATATGACATCCCATTCTTAAAGGAACAGTCACAGTTCCTTGTTGGTAGAAGATTCACTTTTCCAATAAGAGAAGGGTCCAATAATGTGACACTGTTAAGTTACCATACAGCTTTCTTTATGTCAGTTTAGTTAACAGTAGGGTTTGAAAAATGTATCACGATATAAGTGTTTCATATCAGTCAATATTGATCATTATGCCACTGGAACTGGTGGCATGATGTTTGCTGTTTTATCCTCACTTTTCTCTCCACTGCATTGTTTTTTTTTTTTTTTTTTTTTTTAAGCAGCTATGAGGCATAGAAACCCAAAAGTGCTGCTGTGCAAGTTACTCAACAGGTTGTTGCTAGGTAACCAAAGAGGGAGTGAGTTTGTTGATGCCACCAACCTTGTTTAGCTAGTCATGCGAGATTCAGCGGCTAAAGTTTTTCCTCTGCCTACATCCCCAGAATGCTGTGCGGTTCTGCATCGGAGTTCAGTGACGTAATATCTATTGATATTAATCATGCGTCTATCGCGATATATACTGTTATTGATTTATTGTCCAGCCCCAGACGAAGAAGGGACAAAACCAATCACAGTGCATCAAATCAATATTATCAGCTGTGAGTTTTTTTTTTTTATTAAACTTGAGTACAAAAGTCAAATGTTTCTGAAAAGTGTTCTGTAAATGATTACAGATCCAAAACATGGAAAGGTTCTTGCATGATTGCATTATCATATGACTGACATGCACAGTGCTTTTTTGATTTGGTTGATCGTTTTCATTTTTGTGGCTAAATTAGTATTTTTTTGTTTTGTCTAAGTCAGCAACAAGAATAGAAAGCCGATCTTTATCTTCTAAAGTGCTGTTTTAATCAGAGGGCAGGAAAATTGTTAGATGTTGAATACTAGAAAAGTAAGATGGGTGCAGAAACCTGCTTAATAACATCATAATAAATAACGTTTTCTTTTATTTTAAAGTCTTTCTTCTGTAAAAAAGATTTTTAAAAGTGCATCAACTGGCTGCGTTTGCTCCGGGGGCCACATAAAATCACTAAGAGGGCCACAGATCGCCCCTCAGACGCAATTTGGGCACCACTGACTAAAAATATATTTCTGCAAATACAGCTGCAAAATGTGAAAATAAATAAAAAGACATACAAATAATTCTTTTTTACCTTTTCTCCTTTCACTCCACTGCAGTCACACTTGGAGCCCCCACATCCATTGCAAGCCTGCAGAAGAAGCAAAAACAGAGCTAACTTTAATTAGCTGTAAGAGAACTATTAATATATATACATAAATACAGTGATTTTCCTCCTAGCAAGAAGAGCGTGAGGGTCTGAGTTTTTTGTTTCAGATTACTGTTCCAATCTCGCCACTAGAGGGCACTCCGCCATCACAATAACAACAATTTCAACAGGTGGCATTTCTTCCCACCGAGGACCTCCCTGGCCCGCGGTGTGTTTCATGCTTGGAAGAAAGTTACAAGCTCAAAAAAAAAAAAAAAAAAAAAAAAAAATCATGATGATTTCAGCAGAAATACGAAAAAAAAGAGAAAATAAATTCCTTTCTTCATTATCACCTTCTCTTCCCAAAAAGATGGCAACAGAAGTAAAATTGTGGTATAGTTTTGAAAGGAGAGCTGAGAAGGCCTAGGGAGAAGAGGGGAAGATGCCAAGCTGCTGATTAACTTTTCCCATGCTCTGTTGACACGGCGCATGCCAGACGGGCATCAGCTGCACGCATGCCGGGCAGCCGGGATGTGAGAAAGATGGAGAGGCAACGGGTTCACCACAGAGAGAAAGGCAGAGGAGGACAGACAGGTTGGCACTCGTCTCTGTCCGCGGTTTGCATCGGAACAAAGTGGGTCCGATTGCATGTTTTCGTGGTTCTGTTTAAATTTCAAATCAAGGTCAGGATTGTCGAAAGTTTTTATAAGCATCCTCACTGTACGTTTAGTGAAAAGACGTTAGCTTCTTCTTTTATTTGTTTGGATCTTCTGTTTTCCTGCACAAATAAAAAGTCTGACTTTTTCTATATGCATGTAGGCCTGTCATGGTAATAAGTGTTGAATTGTTCTGGTAATTATTCCGATAAGCGATAATGTTGTTGTTGTTTCAAGTAATTTAATGGTAATGGGATAATAATGCAAGAACGCTCTCTCAAATATCAATGAACTTTCAATTCTAATGAACATTTGACACTGGCAACTGGAAGACATATTAAATATCCAAAATAAATCAACAAAAAAACAGAAACAACAAATAAAATTGATTATGAAGTCTCTGTAAACAAAACTTTCAAAATGAAAGGCTGATAGAGACCAAAACATCAGACAGAAGACTTTTGTCATCCCGTTTATGGCAGAAAGAGAGAGAGAAAAACAATAAATCATGCAAATGATTGTTTTAATTTATCATGTAATTAATTGACTTACTGATTATTTTATAACAGTTTTGAAGTTCAAACTCTTACATATAAATGAGTTAAAAGAAATGAATCTTTCAGTGGTGCTGTATGGTCTTCCAAAGACAAACTTTACAAAAATCCAAATTTCAATTGATAGAAAAAATATATATAACTACATTAAAAGTTTTTGACCAAATCGCAATTTTCATATGTACCAACACACTTAACACATTCAACATTCATTTATTTCAGAACTGTCTCTGAAACTTCAGGTAGTCATTTTCCTGATGAATAAAAATGGTTTGACACAAGCCCATTACTTGCAGCTGCGTATCAAAATGGGTAAGACGAGAGAACAGGCCATTAACCGTTTATCGGTAACAACTAAAAGAAAACTAGCTTAAATATGAATTCTGGCCAATAATTAAATAGTTCAACCCAGACGGAAGAGTGACAAACAAATACTGCGGTTCTTCCATCCAAATTCCCTTGGAGCCTTAATAGACTGCATGGATTCATGAACCCATAAACTGAAACACTAGGATGTTTTTCATAGAAATCTGGTGAACTCTGCCAGTAAGCTGAAAAGAAGTTGGCAGTGGAAACCTCACTGACGGTGATTGAAAGCACATGGCTAATTAAGCAAAAAAAAAAAAAAAAAAAAAAGACTCATCAGACATTAAATCAACTTTATTTCAAGGCCAGCTTAGCCCCCAGACTTAAGTTCTGAAGATTTCCATGTGAGATTATGTTAGAGCAATAAAAGATTAATGTTTTTTAAAGTCACAAAATGTGAAGGCAGCTGTAGGGTTAAAATAAAATAAAATAAAATCCCAAAAGGAGAGCATGGAAATGACAGATTTTTAGTTTTTGCTGCAAGTGGGATGATCCTTCTCTGGCCTTTTATCCACAAACCGAATCAACACTAAAATGAATAAATATTGTAACAACACAGATTTTATAACATGTTAGCATCTAAAATAGCATTTTAATCACGAGCGACTCCATATTTTACAATAGGCTAGGTTGTTTCAGAGAGTTTTTTCCACTAATAATTGAAATCATCTTTTGAAATGTTTTGTTCTATTTATTCAGGCCACTTTGTCTAATAGCAAAATATGTTTTGATGTTCTGAAACATTTGCAAACGTGATGCAAAGGCAAAACCCCCCAGAAGAAACCGTTAAATGAGGGAAATGCTTTTTCATTGACTTGCACAGCTTTATGTACGATATGATCCAGGTGCCATCTGCACAATGATAGCCCATCATCTTCCACTGAGCAGATTTTCTGCCTGTTTCCTGGATTTAGCAGCTTATTTGTGCTAGCCATGGCCAGTCAGGATTGACGGTTTGATTCCCATCTTAGATTTTAGCATGTTACTGTAGAGCAGGGGTCACCAACTCCAGTCCTCAAGGGCTACCATCCTGCAACTTTTAGATTCACCTCTGCTCCAAAATGTCTGAATTCCCTCACCAGCATTCATTCCTCTCTGCAATAGGCTGGAAACGAGCAGTTTATTTGATCCAGGTGTGTTTGAGCAGAGACGCATCTAAAAGTTGCAGGATGGTAGCCCTGGAGGACTGGAGTTGGTGACCCCTGCTGTAGAGGATGGATGTCAAGTACACATGATGTTGTGTCAGTGTGTGTGTGAGTGTGTGGGTTAATCTATCTCTGAAGCGCTGTTTTTATAAGCCTTGGATCCCCACATTAGTATCTGGTCTGCTTCAACTCAATGCTGTCTGCTCTCCCACGCCCAGCCTGGCAGCTCTCACTCTTTTCACCTCTTCAACTCTGTCGTTTTAAAGTCTCATCCCCTTTATTTTTCTTGCTTATCACTTAACCAGGGGAGCCTGACGTGAGTTTTCTCATAGGTTCAAGAACGATATCTAGAGATTTTCATGCTGCTCTGAGAGAGACAAGAAAATTAGCTTCCATCTAATCCAGACTAATGATGTACTTCAATAAATATTGCTTATTCTTGTTGACCAAAAATAAGGCACTCATGGGATCAACTCTTCAATCTTACAACTGCCACATTTCTGAAGCCAAATCAACTTTAATGTCAAAGTTTGGTTTTACAAAAGAAGCTTCTCACATACATGTATTTTTTTTAAATAAAGCCCAATACTATCATATTTTAAAAATTGTTTAATTGTGTACAAAACATTTAAAAAAAAGCTTTTGAGGAATGGACACTAAAACAGGAAGCACTTTCATACACTGAAAATCATCATCTAAATCGTCACTTCCTAAACTACGGGCCTGTACACATGGAGACGAGCAGCACAGTAAATCTTTGCTAATAATTAAGAAACATGCGTCCACAGGACAAGCTGCGGCACCACAGAAAGTGATGTAGTAAGTCTGCCGGACCAATTGATGGCGCTGTGATACTGCCACAGAACTACACATTAACAAAAACCACAGAATGGACTCTGTGCACCCCAGCCTCCGCGTTTTGGGAAAAGCGGCTCGATTGTTTCCGATCTATTGAAAATGGCCTTTTACATGAGGTGCTTGCAGGGCTTGGCCAAGGTTTGTACATCGATCCAAAGCCCCAACAAGTCAGCTGGAGAAAGGTTTTAAGATGTTCGCCTCGTTATACATTCACTGACACGAAGGTGAGTTTTACTTAAACTTTGTGGCTAACATTAACGTTATAGGCAATATTCTCGGACATTGTTCTTGTAAAAATGTGCTTAAGTATCTAAACATTCTAACGGGCAATGTTTTTACCTAATTTTCAAGTATATTATGTGTGTTTGTTGTCCTAAGTGTCACAGACTAACGGGGAGGTTACGGTTCGGGCTTTTCACTTCCGAAGCCTGACGAAGCTCAACAAGCCTCATAGCTTGACGTAGCGCAGCTCTGGTGTCAGAGATCTGGTACAGCTGTTCAGGTTCAAAGTTGCTGCTTTTAGAGAAAAATGACCGTGTTGCTTCATGTCTCCGTGTTATTTAGTTTTATTACCTTTGTATGATTCTTGTGAAGAGCTCAGATAGGACGGTGTTTACAGCAGTATGTACAGGCGGCTCGGCTGTCTGGCTCTGGTCTGCTCTCTGGTTCCCATAAACTCTTTCAGGCTGAATACAAGTGATTCCATGGAAATAACTCGGGGAGGCTCCTTTATTTACCATCCTTATCCCCGGTATTTTTAGGCTGATCCGGAGTGAAGTGAAGGCTGCAAACTTTGTGTTGTGCAGCGTTAGCTGGTAGCGACAGATATTTACAAGCCATCTTCTTAATTCAGGATTGCTTGGAAATTAACGAAAACTTAAAAAAGCCCATTATATTAGGAAGACAACAATGTTCATAGTATTGCTTTTTTGCATCTGAAATACGACTTGGTCTTTTCTACCAGTCGTGGTAACTCAAAGCGGAAACAAGTGAGCCGCATTAGCTCCTGGAGATGTGACGTCAACGCCGTAGATGCAAAGAGTCCATGGTGCGATGTTTGTTAGTAGTGAGAATGAGACGCAATGGAGACGAAAGTGGGAGAGAGTGAGATGGAGATTCAAAGATGCGGCTCCCACAGCGCTCTGAAGTTTAATTGTAACTTTTTGCAGAGTTCTCGTCTTTTTGTTTGGTTATATTTTTGTGACAGGGTGGAACCATTCCCCCCCAAATCCCCCTCAGTTTGGATAAAAAAACGTAAACAACTACAGTGAGCTAAGCAAAATTAAATTTTTTTTTTTTTAAATCTGCTGTTTTTTGGTGATGTCATTTGATTAGCTGGTTTGTTGTAGCCTTTGTAGAAAGTGCCAGCAGACACTTGGGGACATGCAGATAGTGAAAGTTAAACAGGGTCCTTGACTGGAGCA